CACACACACACGATGCGCAAAACTCCGCATTTGAACAGTCAATAGCAAATACTTAAACTAATAACAAAACAGTAGCTAATTCAAAAGCGCTAGATTGTCATAGCAAAGTCAGAATTACCTCCTCTCCTAGGTTCACGAAACGGTCGTCCATAAAATGCATTGCTGTTCTGTTGTAAGTAATCTTAAAGATTCCTAAATGCATCTACTTTCGGAAGGCCAAATAAAGTGCTTTTGCTTTCGCCTAGAAACACATCGTCTCCCTGACATGGCTGCTTCAACACTAACTGCGGTTACTGAAACCACGCCTTCTTTCTTTGCGTGCTCATTATGCTAATATTTCCACATAGTGAGGTAGATATGTGGGGGCGTGTTAGAACGAGCCATTTTAGGGGGGCGTGGCAGAGTCTTAACTTTGATAAAGAATATCAGATATTTAGTCTTTGCAACTTTAGGGATCTTATCTATGCACAATCAGCTTGTAACACTCCAAAGAGAAAGGAAAACTTGAAATCGCATCATATGACCCCTTTAAACTGCAGTTTAAAATGAAGGTTGAGATGTTTATTAGGCTAAGAAGTAGAGACAACTAATTTACTGGAATAGTTATACATTTTCAGTAAAATAACAAACAAAACGGTAAATATGTAACATTAGAGTCCGTTAAGAATGGCATGTTAGCAGAGGTATTAATATTGTTACAGTACGGAGCCCTGCACATGGTATGCAGGTAAAAAAAATATAATGGGCGTGAATTAAGAATTCGTTCCCTCATATTGGTAAATTGGGGCCACGTTGTAGAAGTTTCACTCATTTTAATTAAATCAAAACAAGGGAACAAATTAGTTCAACATTGCCATGTTTTACTAAAAAAGAAATGGGTCATTATGGGAACAAATTCTTAATACATGGCTGCGATTTACCTAAAATGAGGGAAAAAATTCTCAGTTTGTGGCCATGATAAATATATTTTTGTCCACATGTGATGTATGGAGCTCCACAAAATGGCAGTTTTGTGTGCAATTCTTGAAACGGTGGATTTGATGTAACAAAACTATCAGATAAAAAAATATATATATTTGTCGTTAAAAATGTAGGTAAAACTGATTATTGGTCGATTTAATATTACTGGAAGTAATATTAAATTCTTTTTTTTTTTTAAACATGATTTTTCTAAGATGAACTGGATAGCACCACAACAGCTAAAATGATTGCATAGTGCCTACTTTTCCGAATACTATTGAAAAAGACAATGTGTATTATGTACTGTATGTAGAGAGATTCCATTCAGTATGTGTTCCATTATGAACATAGCTACTGATGCTGAAGAATCCAGTAGCCTGTTCTGTTAAAAGCAAATGGGCTGCATTTGACTGGCATCCAGTGGCTGTAAATGTAATGTTGCATCCACTGTTGTCTTGCAGGAGTTCTTCTCATTAGCATGGTCCACGGTGCTGATGTCCAGGACAGGTGGCTCTGCCCGTCCCTGCAATATCCTGGCAGCTGGGGGTAAGAGGGGTCTGGTGAAGCTTATCCATCCCCGAGTCAACCTGGCATTTGGAGAGTTTCGTGCCAGTCGACGTGCCATTTCCATTATGCGCTTCAGTCCACGCAACGCTAGCTTTCTCTTCAGTGAGTTAAGCAATCAGTGAACACAATGAGACTTTAGTTGAGCTATATAGATGTAACTAAAAATCACTTTATTTCTGTTTACAGCTGGGACATATGAAAATAAGATCTTTTTATGGGATATTGGTGGACTGGATCGTGATTACAACTTCAAAATCAGGTTGTTTATTTATTGTTCAGGATTTTTTAATACTTCATTTAGAATGATAGAATGTGCTGCGTTTTTGTTCAAAAACATTTGCATTTTTACAAACCTTTCCATTACACTTGTATTTCTTTTATTTATTTTTACAGTAAGCTGCTAGTCCTGGAGACTTGCTCCACTCCTCTGCATCTCTCTCTGCTCCCCACGTCTCCAGACACGCACCTCCTCTCGGGCTGTGATGACGGGCTGTATATCTTTGACATCCAGCTCAGCAAAAACACACAGAAAAGGTTTGAGTTCTCCATCATCCCTCTGCTGATTAAATCTGTGTGTGTTACTTTATTGTAATTTACATGGTTTTTCAGAAATGAGGAGATGGAGATTGTGTTTCCAGTTTACAAGAAAAAGGACAAGAAAAACACCTACCGAACTATTGACGGACTGAGCTTCCTCTCAGATGATATAGTGGGTGAGTAAACCGTAAGAAAAATGTAGGACTAGTTGACCAAATAATATATTTAATATATAACCTATGTTTTCTATTTAAAGGAACACTCCACTATTTTTAAAAATAGCCCTGGAGAAATTATTAGTACAAACATTTTTGCATACTTTTAAAATGTTATTATTGTTAATAATATTATTATTATTATTACTACTATATACATAGTAACTATTATTATTATTATAATAATGGTTCATCCTTAAAGGTTGGATTCGGTTTCGAATCCATTCAGCCGATCTCCGGGTCTGGCGGTAGCACTTTTAGCTGTAGCTTAGCATAGATCATTGAATCTGATTAGACCGTTAGAATCTCGCTCAAAAGTGACCAAAGAGTTTCTATATTTTTCCTATTTAAAACTGGACTCTTCTGTAGTTACATCGTGTACTAAGACCGACGGAAAATGAGAAGTTGCGATTTTTTTTTTTCTCAGCCGATATGGCTAGGCACTATACTCATTCCGGTCTAATAATCAAGGAACTTTACTGCCGTACCATGGGTACAGATTATTATTATTATTATTATTATTATTATTATTATAATAATAGTTACTGTGTATATAGTAATAATAATATTATTAACAATAATAACATTATTTTAAAAGTATGTAAAAATGTTTGTACTAATAATTTCTTCAGGGTCGTCTTTTTTGGTAGTTTTGCATGTAAATTTTCCATTTCAAATTGTGCCTAGTATACTCTATGAAATTTACTTTTAACACATTCTGGCCTTTGTTCTGTCTGATCTTGAAGGCCTAGTTGAATAATGATGGTTGTCATATTTCCTCCCAGCATCCAAGAGCCACATGCAGGGCTCAATCTACCTGTGGAGCTGGAGGGCCACACGGGCTTCTTGGAATGGCAGAAAGAAAGAGGTGCCAGCTGTTGTGCTGGCTGAGCTGCAGTGGTCCAGCACGGACGTCCCATACCTGTCTCTAGGCACCTGTCCAGGTATTCATGATATGTGTATTAAATGTCATAAGGTAGGGCTGCACAAAGTTTAATTAACTGAAGCAGAAATCATGATTACAATTAAAATACAATCGTAATTTAATTGTGATCATGATTTCTGCTTCAGTTAATTAAACAATTTTTATCTTGCATTGGTAAAATACTATACAAAGACTATAATACCCAAGACGTGTCACTCGTATAGTTTTGAATGGGGAAGAATGCAACGCTCGATATGGCCGCTCTATCGAAGGAAGCCCCGCATTGAGTAAAAGAGCCAATCACTAACCGGTAAAGTCAGCGCGTCACTGCAGCTGCCGTTAGAAGTCCCGGTTGCTATAGAAACAGTCAGCGTTCTGAGACATGCGCTTAGGACTGCACATGCACACTGGCTGGTCTAGCCTGAAAAATGCGCGGGTTTTTTTTACATTTATCGGAGCATAAGAGAACATTTATGAGACAGTTGTTGTCAGATTTCATTGGTGATTTTCAAATATGAAATTTAATCGTAAGCTTGGTGAACAGTTTTGGAAATTTTGATGTTTTCCCCATTCAAATAATATATAGGAGCTGTACTTGCATGCCCGAGAGGCGTTACAAAGATGGCCGCCGAGTGAAATGACTTGTCTTAAAGGGATTTTGTTTCAAGCCTCCACAAGCTTTCAGGCTTGCAGTTGCCTGAGTTTAGGTTCCCAAATCAGATCTTTTCTTTTAATTTATATTCACGATTGTCGTTTTAGAACACCAACTTCTATTGTTTATTTTACCTCATCTAGTTTCCTTATGTATTATATAAATGAACACTCTCTACATTATGAAAACTTGTCAAACAAAAAGCTCTGTCAATAGCTAAACCAGTGAAATTCCTAATATTAAGGCCTGGGACACCCTAGACGATTTTCAAATCTTAACCGATTTTAAAACCATGGGAGACCACAGACATGATGGCAGTTTCAACCGATTTTTAGCCTTATGATCCTCTGAACGCGCACACTAGATGGTTCGGCCAGACCGCGAGACGATCGTAGGAACGATTTCACAGTGACACGAGATCTCAAGGAGACTAGCGAGATAAAACGTAACTAGAGAAGAAAAACACATCGAGGACAATCGACGTCGTCAGCTGGCTCTCCTGGCGTGCGTTCTGATGTACAATGGAAAACAAAACCGAAAAAAAGAATATGGTGATGTTATTTCTCAGTACTCTACTTTAGTGGCATGTTTGTGGCTGCCAAGTTTCAGCTATAGAAGCACGCAACATCCGGTAGGTGACGCTTGCTCACTCTCATTGGCTATTGCAGGTATCACGTCAAAGGCAGCCTGATCAAGAGTCGTTAATATCAGACGTGCTACATCTCGATCAGGAGCAATTAAATCATCGTAATGACACCACACAATAAAGGATTTTTTGGACAAAAAAAAATGTTTGCGACAAGCCTCGAATCAGGCCACGGCCCCCCGCCAATCGTTCAGGGTTCTGAAAATCAGCCTTAAAATCTTCAAGTGTTTGGCCAGCCTAAAAGCCTGTTCGCACAAAGAATGATAAAGAGAGTTCTAAAAATTGTTCTAAATATTAAAGAATAGCGGAGTCCACACCACAGCTATAACAATAAAGACAAATCACTTTCAAAAAGATTTTTCTCCAGCTTATGAACGATAAAAACATTGACAGCCAATCAGATTCAATCCTGCTGTCACGAGCTCGAGAATTTAAAGCGGCAGACGAGTGTGCACTTGGAATAAACAGACGATATCGTCTGCTGGTGTGGACGCTAATATAGTTATCATTCTTGATGTGAACGGGCCTTAACTCATCATTCCACATTAACACTTTTTTGTTTGTTTGTTTGTTTGTTTTTTATCAAAACAATTGTGATTTACCATTATTGTGCAGCCCTATCATATGGACAAATGTCAATGTAGAAAAAAAATAACTTTTAATTTCTTCTTTGTTAGTAAAAATATGCAGACTCTTTCTAGACCGTGCTTATTATTAATGTACCAAATCACTAGTGAGATTTCTCTGCATTTATGCATATTCAAACAGCCCAGAAATATGACTTTAGATATGCAGAAAATCTGAAAGCAAAACTGATGTGTGATTTTGTTTTTTCTTGTAGGATATGGTTATGTGGTATGTGGGGATGAGCAAGGCAGGCTATGGATGTACCATATCACAGACACCATGATGGAAAACTTCAAGAGTGGAAAAACAATCTCCGCTACTGAGGTAAATTCATAATTGCTGGGTGAGAGATACATATGGTACGTGTTAAATGTAAGATCTTGGATTGGGAATTAATGATCATCTTAAATGTGCCAAATGGCATGTGTTCACAGTTTTGTTTTATTTATTTAACTTTTTTCTGTCATGCAGAAAAGATGATAATCCACTTCAAATAATCTGGCATTATCTCTCACTAAAATAATCCTATTAGCTACAGTATAGATGCATCCAATCCTTTTAGAAGGTATCCTATCTTTTCAGCATGTGAACTCCAGAGGAGTGGTTGCTGTTGATGTTTGAATACAAAGCTACTGGATCACATTGTCCTTTTTTGCTCATGTTATTTCAGGTGCTGGAGTGGCCATCACCGGTTAGAGCTGGAATGGGTGCATTAGAGGGGCCATCTATTAACGGCATTGCCATGGATCCTGATCTACATTACTTGGTTGCCCTTACTGACAAGAACATGGCTGTGGTTTGGAAGAGAGAGAGTCGATGAGCACAAAGAAATGTTCAGTTGCTGGCAGTAGTTCTCCTCATTACTTTTGCATTTCTAGACTGAATTTGAATTGAGATCATGGTTCTGTGAGGAGAGACGTTAAAAAGGAAATCAATCGGCGAACTTCACCTATTTTAAAGACTTATTGTCTCAAAGAGACAGAGGAAAACTAATGTAGTTCCTATTACACTTTGACTAGTTTTAGTAGGCAATTGTTATTATATTCTTTCATAATTTTAAGTCTTTCAGTGTGTTTTTTTTTTCTCTTTTCTTTCTCTCCTTTGTTTTTTGTTTTTTTTAAACATTGTCTTCAAAATATATTTCAGAGATTGTCAAGAAATAATGACATTGTTCAAAACATGACCTCTTATGTTTTTGTTTTAATAAGGAAAATGGTGTTATACACTTTCTTATTTAAATGATTCTCATTCATTACTCGCTCTTAGTTGTAAATGTAAGTGTCAAAAAAAATCACAAACCAAATAATATTTTGATCCTGTATGTATGTGCTTGGTTTCATTTGTTATCCCGTTTTTGTAAATTTAGTGCAGTTCAGTAGTTTGGTGCGTTAAGATTTGTTTGCTACAAACATGTTTAACATCTAGACCCCTAGTGGAAAAAAAAGTACTAAAATGTAGTTGAAATGCATTTGTTTTGTGCTAAGTATACTACAAATACTTTTATGTGCTTTATAAAAAAAATACCCTGCAATTGTACTTTTGGTATAATAAACTGGTATGCATAAAGTCTGCTAAATTGGAACAACTAATTTTGTGCTTAATGCAATGTAATTGTGCGGAAGTAGTGCTGAGGTCCACCTAAAGATATACTTAAGTATATTTGATTGTGCTAAAGTGGAGCTATTGCAGGACACTTTAAAAATCTAGCATTTAAAGATCATACAATCTTTATTAATAGTGATATTTAAACACATTTTAGGCATAATATTAATGTGCATTGTGCAATAAAGAAATCGTCCAAATAGAGGTTAATTATAATTTGATATCAGTGAATCTTAAGTTATATGTAAATTAATAGATTTGAAGTATTAGTGTGAAATAAATGTATTTTAAAGAAAATATGGCATAGTGGTTTTTTAAGGACTGCAGCCCACTTTGTTGATTACTACTTCAGGGTTGCATTTTCCTACATTTAAGATGGTAAGCTTGAACAGCATCCTTAAATATAACTATTAACCCTCTGGTGTTCGGTCATTTTAGACTGGAAGAAATGTTTAGAAATTTCTCGCTACTTAATCAAAATGATACGAAACTCGATGGCTTTTATGGAAGACACTGTGACCAAACAAAATCGTAGACTTGATTCGAAAAAGCTAAAAGGCCGTAAAGAAAAAAAAATCATACTTGTGTTGTTCGTGGTCAAAAATGACCGCCATTGGAAATGAATGGGAAATACGTGAAAATAGAGTATTTTTTGTGTGTACAATTGACAAATCACTCACGATGCAGAAAAGTGCACAGTAATGAAGGGGTGATGCTCTAAAATATCAAGAGTGCAAAACAGACACACTCCACCCACCGACACACAAATATGAACTAGTGTGACTAATACAAAGCATGTTTTTGCAAATCCGTGAAATAAAATCAATAATTTAGCCACAATGCTGTAAAAACACAGACACCAAGGAAGGGGTGACACTCTTAAAACTTCAAGAGGAAAATAAACAGACACACATACTCAAACACACTCACACACACAAAACACACTGTTATATACACACAAATGAACTGGTGTGGCTGTAACAATATGGCAAAATTGAACCAAAAGACTCAAATAAGAGGTTGAAATCAGATTGATTAACTTCTGATAAAGCATTTCTGTTCATCTTTGTTACATTTTTGTTGAATTTTGATGTTATGTGTAACAAAATGTCTTTCTCTGTGTTCAGGTTTGACTGTATTAAAATTAATGCAAAAACTAACATTTCACACCAACATTTCAAACAAAACAATTCTAATCCTTTACAAACACTTGTCTTTGAGAATGTCTAAATGTATATCCAAAATCCACAACTTAAAAATAAGTATGTCTAAAATATGGAGTCAATATAGTGCCACTTATATATGCAAAATAAAGTTTTGCAAAAGAAAATGAAACCGCACAAAAGCAATGATTTGGCAATACATATTTTCCATGGCCATATCTACTAATTTATTTGCAACGCTGCTTTTATTTTGCGTTTCAGTCAAGTTTGAGCTTGCGATACCGTTTTCCCTTTGCGCTTCACGTTTCTGCGCGTCTCGCTTTCTGGCACTGTTTTGACATGGGGGTGGAGTCAAGGGACGGGGGCGTGTACAACAGGCCTGGGCATGCCTCCCCGGAAGTGACGTCATCGGCCCGAGACGCAGCTCACTGATCCAGGCACCATCGTTATTCTCTAGCATTAAAACATGCATGTTTTCGTTTTATTAACTTTATTAACAAATGTATATGTGTATTAGCAGTGTTTGCTCAAGTTAAAGAAGTTATTAACATGAACATCTGCTGTTTAGTTTTAATGTTAAAGGATGCAATTAACTTCATAAACTAGCTTACATCATTAAAAAGGTATACGACTCATATCGATCTCGACTTCGTTTTGCATTTACATAACTCCTGGCATAAATTAAGAAATGACTGTAACTGTTAAAAGTTAAAAAAAATGAAGCTTGAGTCTTTTAGGTTTAGTTTTGTCGTGGCCTCGAGATATTAATTTGTGGGAACGTGATAATATGTCGTGGCCATGAGATCCTATTGAGGGAACAACTTCTAGTTGATGGTATATGCTTCCATATATTTCGCAAATACTGTAAACGCCTGACAATTATGCCAATAAAGTTTTGACTTTATGATTGCATTTACACCTGTATGTGACGATAAATGAGTGGTGTTTTCATTTACAAATGAAACTACGCAAATTATTCATTTTATAATTATAGGGTTAGGGTATTTATAGGGTTATTGTTAAATTCATCCTCTAAACTGCACTTCCAGTAAAAATTCCTGTCATATACAACACAGTCCCGTAGCCTAGGACTATGGTTAACACTTAAACCACCAGAGCTCGCTGTATACCTAAAAAAAAATGTACCCATACACATGACTACTGTTTTGATATGGCTAAAAAATCTTTTTTACACTGTATTATGCCACTGTCTTCACAATGTCTAGAGTCATAAAATGGTTATTTTTTAGTTATCAACTATGTTTTTGGCCTGATGTTTTAAGTTCACGGCTATTTTTAAGCAGGTTATACTAATCACTTTTCTTAATGGTGAATATAAACCAGCCTGCAATGACAACGAGAATTACAAGGAAATAAATACATATTTGGGTGGTGTAATATTATAATAAAATGTTTTAAGATAACCTATGTTTTTTAAATTACTAAAATACCCTAAATAGACTATAATAAGCCATAATAATTCACCACACTGCATGTATGCACTAGGATGTATGATACAACGATAAATTCAATCGCACAGTTTCACCTAATCAATTATCTATTTGTTTAGTTATATAATTTATAATTTGAATAAGAGAACAACACCAATAAACTTGGGGTAATCATAAAAATTGTTTTATTCATTACATCATAATTCAGATTTTTTTTCTTCAGGAATAAATAGCTAAGCAACACTGTAGAGAACAATAAACAACAACAAAAATTAGCAAAACAAAAGTGAATAATTAATCCAAAGTCTGAACATTTTTGAGTTGGCTAAAACATCTTAATTTGAACGTGCGTTGTGTGACTGTTTGCAGTAAACAACTAACACGTTGCTCAATGACAGCGCGACAATAAGGGAATTATATGCCTAAATTTGACTCGATGGCACTTATAGGTATAAATGCCCAGCTTTTATTCTGGTTTTAACTAAACAATTTTTTTAACAACAGGGGATTGTAAATAGTTAAACAGTTCTAGTGTTAATATAATAATTTAATAATTTAATAATTTTTCTTATCTAAAATTTCTTAATTCAAAATAAAATATTAATAAATACATATCTGATAATCCCAGATTGATATGGACAGAAGTAAACAGCAGATGTTCATGTTAATAACTTCTTTAACTTGAGCAAACACTGCTTATACACATATACATTTGTTAATAAAGTTAATAAAATGAAAACATGCATGTTTTAATGCTAGAGAATAACAATGGTGCCTGGATCAGTGAGCTGCGTTTCGGGCCGATGACGTCACTTCCGGGGAGGCATGCCCAGGCCTGTTGTACACGCCCCCGTCCCTTGACTCCACCCCCATGTCAAAACAGTGCCAGAAAGCGAGACGCGCAGAAACGTGAAGCGCAAAGGGAAAACGGTATCGCAAGCTCAAACTTGACTGAAACGCAAAATAAAAGCAGCGTTGCAAATAAATTAGTAGATATGGCCATGGAAAATATGTATTGCAAAATCATTGCTTTTGTGCTGTTTCATTTATATTTTGCAATTCTTTATTTTTGTTTGCAAAACCTATTTTTTTTCTCGCAATACTTCATTTTCTTTTGCAGTTCTTTATTTTTGTTTGCAAAAAGCACATTTATTTTTTCTCAATGCTTTCATTTTCCTTTGCAAAACGTTCTTTTCTTTTGCAATTCCTCAATTCTTTTGCAAGTGTATGTGGCTTTGATTTGACTCCATATTTAACATTATGACTGAAGAAATAGAGATTGCACTTGAGCACAAATGTGCCGCGGTGTGTTGTATTAAACACATAC